CACAGCAGTTCGTCTTCATATTGTGCATCCTTTATAGTTATTGTGCTAATAATTAAAACCTGTATCGTAAAAATTAATTTTTCCACATTTCATTCTTGTCACCGATTATACTGAAACCCGTTCTTATACTAATAATGTGGATTGACTAAATAACCAGAGTAGTATAACTGTCGTATCTAGAAACTGTTGCAGTTTAAAGTACCCACTTTAGAGTGCATTTTTCTTGCCACATCGACTAGGCATCTTTGTTGAGCATATTTTTTGACTTTTCTATTTACCTTTTAGATTTAGCTCATTTTTTTTTAGCTCAACTTTAGCCTGAAAAGTTCAGGCTTACTAAACTTGTGCTCTTCATCACGCCACTAACACCAAAACTAATATTCTATGATGTCGACGATATAGCGAAAGTGTACAATTAAAATAGTATGTTAGAAGTAATAGTGCTGAGCAAACACTTAGACTTTTCAGAACGTGACCATAAGCACATTAGAAAATTTGCAAGGAATGAGAAAGGAAGGAGTACACATTCACACATCTTTTCAAAACTTGCGAAATATTGTTAATGAGAGGTTTTAAAGTTTTAATGAACTTTGCTCGAATCCCCTTCACTAGCTTTCTACCAAGAACTGCAAACATTACTGTCACTGAAATCGTAATTTGACGATATTAACTCATTTTGAGTTTGGCTAGTTTTTTTAGTTTTTCCAGTGGAAGTTTTTAAGGGAAAGGAAGTGGACGAAATTAAAAAAGTGTTCCGTCAGCCGTCAATTAGGAGAACAGAGGGCATTTCGTAAGGGGAGGGCGTACTTCTTTACTGATTATGTGTCTGCGCATTCAATAAATCTTTTAGGTTCGTGTATGTGCTTTAAATTTGCTGATTAGTGATGTTGTTTTTCAGGTCTGGCAAGAGAAGATCGTGAACTCCTTGCAAAGCTCAGTGATTCTTCTGGTATGGGAGAACATCAAAGAATGATATTTGATAAAATCAAGAAAGTTATTTTACAAATATCCTGAATTTGATTCTTGCCGAATGTTTGTTCGTTTAAGAAAACCATTTATTGGCTACCACAGTTAACTGTACTCGTTAAAGAAGTCTATCGGCATTTGAAATCTTAGTTTTGAAGTGAATGCGAGGTTTTTCGTTACAGTTTAAGATTTCACTGCCAAATTAATGATATGAATTTTTCATCAGGAACTTCATATAATAATTATGGAGAAAAAAGGAGGGATGTCAATTTTCCTGAAGTTAGGATTAGAATGCGTTTTGAAAATTGATTTGGTTTCATCTTTTCTTTTTTTTTTTTGTTTCTTGTTCGTATTGACGGGTATAAATGATTCTTGAATTTTTCAGTCTTAAGTTAAAGGTTATATATAAGTTTCCCAGCTGTAACCATCTAGTTTTTGAACTTTGATGAGAGAGTAAATTAGGTTAACTTCATTTAAAATTGTTGCTACATGTGTAATTTATTTCCTGGCTTTTATTAGTAAGTTTTGGAAATTTTCAATATGACCGAATCTGATAGTACGCTGATCACGAAAACGTGATTTTATTGTGCTTATGTTTCAGAATGTTTGTTATATTGTAATATTTTTTTCTGATGACAAAGTTGTATCATTGTTATTATCCATCACTGCTCTGGTTGATTCTGATGATTTTGTTGTTTTGCATTTTGATGTTTTCTTACATTTACCACTGGATGTCTTCGGTTTCGTTCGTAGTTTGTTTACTCGAAGTCCATTTGTTATATTTGAATTTATTCTCGGTTTCTAGAGCCGAATGTTAGCGTAGTTTAATTCGAAGGCATCAAAGTTAAGCGATTATTACGGCATTTCTGCGTTTTACTCCTAGTCTGTACTTCTGTTTGATTTTTCTGGGTGCTTCTGGTCTTGAAAGTTGGTCTGGTATAGTTTGTTTTTTGAATATTGATTGGTTAAACAGCGAGTGGATCTAGTTTATTTGCAGAAATGTCGATTGAAATGATGCTGCCATCACACTCGTTGAAATCGTAATAAGGTTTCGTGTAAAATATAAGAATGATTGCTGTTTTCTTCGGTCTGTTCTTTCTTCCCACGGAGCACTATTCTCAGCATATAAGTCTTCTAGTAACTTTGTTCGTAGAGTAGCTAGTTGTAATTAATCTCGTTAGTAAATTTTTGTTCTTTTGTTATGTAACTTAATCTTCATTTCTTTGACCCCGTGGCAACCATTTGCCTTTAGAATGTAGAAGTTTTTGAAACCGTTCCGGGTAGGTTTTTAGAATTTGAAGCCGTTCCGGGTAGGTTTTTTGGCTCTGTTGTTTCACTGCTTGTTGTTTTTAACAGCTCTAGCTTTAAATGTTGGCTTTTTATTGTTATTTGTGATAAGTCAGTTGGAGCGTTTTGGAATTTCATCTGGAAGTTTTTTGCTTTGCTGGGTGTTTATTTAATTGCTTTTCTGTCATCAAAGATACTGATATTTTAGCTTGTGGGAGAAGAAGGAAGTTGTCTTCCATGCTGCAAACGCGTTGTTGCTTTCTTTACGTGTTCTTTTTAAACTTCTGGTATTTAAATTTCTTGCGTTTGAAATAAATTTTCATTAACGTTTTCAAGGCCTTAGATAAATCTGATTTTAGTTGAGATTCCAGTGCCGATTTTGAGTCAAAATGCTAAGAAAGGTGGATTGGCAAAAAAAGTTTTTGAGGTCTTGGCAGTGGAGATGGACGGTCTTCATCTTGCACGGTGTTGTTAATTTTGTATTTACTGAGCGGTGTTTTCTCAGGGTTCTACAAGAGATTTTTGAGATTTTGCTGCAGTTCGTAATGTCTCGAATGATCTCGCAAGTGCTGCTCAGTTGACATTATTTCTGTTGTTGTTCGATGGCTTTAAAACTAGAGAGAATACCAATTCGGAAAGAATTGCTACGTCGAATCTAGGGTCGAAATTACAGTTTGATGACGTCCTACTTACATAAATAGGTCGTTACTACGATTGAGAAAGAGGGGAACTGCTCATTCATATCTGTTTATTAAGGGACGGATTAAGACTTCATTTGGTAAGTTTTTGCTTTACTTTTTTTCTGTCATGAGCAAATTAAGAGCTGGTTTTGGAAACGAAATTAAAGTGGTGCTATTACTCGGTGCGGCTCACACTATTAGAGTGTTTTAAGGGAGATGTTTTGATGTCGGTGGGATTTTTACCGTCCAAAAATTTTCTGTCGTATTTGTAAGCAACATTCGTTTCATTCATATCTAAAGGCGACGGAAGAGTTCTATTGTTAGATGTGCATATTCGCTT